AGGAATGAGGGTTTTGTTGCCAAAAACTTTCGGCGCTGCCTTCTCCACATCACAGCTTAAATTCACTGTTGTGTTGCAAGGTTATCCAATAAAGCCATTTACTGCAGATGAGTCTGTATGGGATCTGTTGTGTTTCATTTGGGTTCCTGTGCTTCTGGTTGGATTTTTAGCTGCATTTCTTCCCACTGAAAATCTTAACGTGTAATATGAAACAAGTTTTACTCCCCTAGATGTATGCTGGCCACCCTCAGATTCCCCTGAAGGATCCAACACTGAAAGGGTAAAATGAGACGAGCTCCACAGGATGAAAAAAAACCCACAAATTTATTAGTAGCTTGTCCTGCCAGAGGCTGGCAATGTCCTCCCTGCTCAGCCAGGGATGTAAATACAGCAACGTTCCTGTGTATTGGCCTGGACATTAGAAAATGTCTCTTGTCCCCAGCCACTGCTTGTGCCATGTGCAGGCAGCAGCTCCACCACTGAGTGGGGAGATGGCCAAGGGGACACCCAAGGGACAGGGAGCATCAAATCATTGCAGGACGAGGAATTTTTGGAGGTCTGTCTTGATTCTTATACATCTTGGACACCATCCTTGCGAGGCTGGAGTCTCTGTTAGAAAACAAATTGAAATAACATACAGAATTGCTGCATTGCTATCCAAATAAAATACTTTTCTTTGCAGAATCTTGATGAAATCCACACATTCCCTTGGAAAGATTTTGTTTCAGCACAGTTTAATTTTCCAAATTAAAAATAAGGGAAAAAAAAAACCCAAAACACACTAGGAAATTTTCAAGTATTTTCAACAGCCGCAGCAATTGTCACATGTAGGGAAGATTTGGTTCCCTTTAGCTGCATAGACCTTAGGTCTCCAACTTTGAGCAACCTGCTCTAGTTGCAGATGTCCCTGCTCCCTGCAGGGAGGTTGGACTGGATGACCTTGAAAGGTCCCTTCCAACCCAAAGCATTCCATGATAACCCTTCCAGCCCAGGTCTCTCTATATTCAATGGAGAGAAAGAGACACCACCCAGAGAGATGTTTAGCCAATCTCTGGGGACAGATTCCCCATGGGTGACTGTCTGTCCTACCAGGAGAGTTTCAGATGCATCCTGCTTAGATGATGAGCATGAGCTTCATGCTCATGAGGAACAGGAGCCCAAGGAGAGGGGGTTGTAGATGCTCTCTTAAATAACTCTGATACATAATCAATATACCCTCAGAGAGGGACACCTCTTGGAGGATGTTTTATGGGTTTGCTTTCTTGGCATAGGTTAGGATAGGAGGAAAAGGTTGAGAATTGGGACCCATGTGGTGTGTAAAGGCATAGGTCCTGGAGAGAGCTGGAGGACAAGCCTCCTTCTTTCAAGCAAAAAAGTTGCTTGCACCCACCACAAAGATTAGAAAAAAGTGGGTACCCCAACCCAGAGAGCAAAGAAACAGTCAAGAAGACCTGGAGATGACAGGAAGACACAGGAATAACCCTGGAAAAGGGGGTTCACAGAGGTGGGCAGCAGTGAGCCCTTAGGTACCTGTTCTTGAGCCTCATCGTTCCTGCAGTGCTGTGACAGCCCATGTCCTCCCCCCAGCACAAAGGAGGCTCCACACTCAGCGAGAGCCAGGTTCTCCGTCCACCCTGGTCTCTCTCCTCTCTGAAAATGGCCAAATCAGCCTGGAGAAGTTTCCTCTTGATTATTCAGTGTGGAATAATCCACCCCTGACCTTGTTAGTCAGCAGCTTTTATAAGCACAACCCACAAAGACTTGGATTTTTCCCCACCTTTGTCCTGGTGGCTGTGGCTGTGGGTGTCCTCTCTTTCATTAAAGATCCTTAACCTCCCCCATGCTTTGATTCTTGCTGTATTTTATCACCACAATACTTTGCAGCAAGCAGTTCTGCAGATTAATTAAGGCTTGAGTTACTGATTTGATTTTTTTTTTTTTTAAAGCAGTGCAAATAATTGTCTGTTGTTTTAGATTTGCATAATGCAAAAAGGGAAACGAAGCCCTGGTCAATCTTCTTTATGCCAACCAGCCTTTTGTTCACTCCCCCCATGCTCCCATCTGAAGTGCAACCCTAATCTTTGCTGAGTTGCTTACTCTTACAAAAAAACCCAACCCTCTGATCATTTTTGTCCCCCCTCACCAGATCTTTTTGTTGTGCAGCTTAATGCTCAACGAAGAAAACAGCCACCCCGTTTCAATTTCATCTCTCTGTTTAGGATGCTTAAGAAATGCTTTTAATCTTTTACATATTCAGAATCTCCTCGCATCCAGAAAGCTGATGGGTCATTTTGCACCAGGAACAAAAATCTTCCTGTGCATAACACAACCTAGCTAAGCACCAAATGAACGA